GAATCACTAAATGCATAAATTTCATTTTAATAAAAGCTGATTAAATTTTATAATGATATAACAGATACACGAATAACATAAAATTCCATAGCACAACCATGTTCAAAACCATGTTCCTAAAACCTAAAACCATGTTCAAATGAGTATACAAATTTCTATGCTGATTATTTTTTTTTTAAATATTTTTGAATACATCACGAATTTTAAAATTACTGACTCAGAACATTTTGACAGTAATGATCTATCAGAAAAACTATTCTAAATTTAAAATACCACAGTCATTTTCTGACTGTCAAAAAGCATAGTCTCAACTCATAATAATTCCATTTTTTATTTTTTATAAACATGTATGCAGTAGTTTAAACTTTCAATTTTAGGACCCAGAAAATATTTCAATAAGTTCAATATGAGCATAAAAAGTTAGTAATCAAACTTCTGATAAGAAAACAGTGGGAAGATAATAATATTAATAACAATAAGAATAAAAACATCCATATTAATTTTTGTCATAAATGTACCTAATAAAAACCTGAAAAATAATTAAGTCTCTATATAGCTTCAAAATAATTTATAAAGTAGTCACATGATCATGTAAATATTCTACAGTTTGAGGATTTCCATCTTCCCCTTCTGGACAAATTTACTTTAATCCTAAAGTTATTAAAATTTAGTGTTACTTCAATAAATATGAATTGAATAAAGTATGGTTAGAACAGAAGTCCTTGTTAATCAGTAGCTTCCATTCATGTTTATTATACATGAAATAACAATAAAATCAGTTTATCAGTGCTTCTAACTTAATTTTGGGAATATTTATTCAATTCAAACCTCTGTAGAATAATATTTAACATTGGATACTAACACATAGTGGATTACAATTTCTGCCTCAATGCCAATCTTTGGTTTCTTAAATTTTTTCAAAATTTTCAATTTGAAATGCTAGAAATTACTATCAGCAATTTTGATATATTCAGATCACATTTGCTTTTTAATAACAACTGTATCAAAATTTCCTGCTGATGATACCATTAACCTTCAAAATATGTAGGTGAATTTTCTTTGCTCACAAACATGGTATTTACATGGTAATTAATAAGTAGCACTTTGCTAATGGAAGAGATATAATAAACAATACTAAAGTTTGTTTAATGAATTAAGAGAAAATTCAAGAGCTACATGCCAATAAATGGTACTAAAATTGCTGACAAAGTGTATCATGAAGAATATTAATTTATTTTCTAATTTCTCCCCTTTTCCCTTTTTTAAACAAAAACTAAAGCTAAAATTATCTATTGATGAATACAAATTTTGCAAATTAAAAACCACAATAAATTAATTAACAAATATTAATCCTTTAATAATTGTTAAAACTGAATTTAAAAATCAAATTTATAAAATGATAGAAGTGGTATAGTATTCAAGTTTTCTCTCAAGTACATTAGCATTCAATTTTCAAATTTTTAAACCAAACTACATTATCATCTGTAACTCTTCTGAAAGATCTAAATACAATTTTTCTGCAATACTCAACTTTTCAATATCATAAACATTAAGTAATATGTAAATTTCATTGTTTCATTTTCAAGTTATGTAATTATATTGAAATTTACATATGGTTACTGAGTCACTAAAGAATTCATTGCTTTAAAAAAAAGGATAGGAGAAGCAAGTACATTACTGTCTAGAACTGGCTTTTAAATCTTAAATTTTAAAGCAGTTAAAAAATTACGAAATATAAATTACAACTTATTATATGGTTTAAATTAAAAATTTAGCTATTAAATATATACACTGCTAAAAACATTTTTCAGATCTTCTTCTTCAGACATTTACAATTTACCATGAAAGGCAAATATGTTAAGGTATCTCGGATTTATTATCACAATTGGTAATTTTATCAGAACAAACATACCCTCAGGGTTAGATGCAATCTCCATTACATCATTCCACATTTATAAATGGACTCCCAAGATAGTCTCCATGAAGGTAATTTTTAATTCAAAAATTAATGGTAAGTAAATAATTTTACATCATGTACTTAGTTCATGCTCTTTTCAATTTTATACTAGAGGTGGTTAATGGGTAAACGGATAACTACACATAACCTTTATCCTAATTCTTCCATTCAATTCCACGAATCTGTATTTACTTTAGAGCCATATCTCCAAAGCAAATATAATTCTGATTCTCCCACATTCACTCTATCCTCAATCATTTTAAGGTTAGCATATCTTTTTTGCCTCAAAACTACTTTTTTCAGTAAGCAAGGCATTGCAGGGAAGATTAGATCAAGATTAGGTTTTTAAAAAGTTAATTTTTTAAACATTTTCTATAATATTTTATACAACTTTATTTTCAATCACTTTTTTCTTTGAATAAGAGAACAAGCAACAATGCTTATTTATCCTTATTTATATTATCATAGTTACTATTATTTTCATAACTGTTTAACCAGTTGCATGCAAATTCAAAATGAATGAAATGCATCTCATTTGTAACCTGAGGTTTAATTGTGTTTTAACTAAGCTTATAAACTAACATAATATAAATGATTATAATAGTATATTGTGCTCACAAATATCTTTTACAGTGAAAGATCTAAATACAAATATTAGGAAATAAACTTACTTAGGTATAGCATGTTAAATATCATTTGATTCATAATTTCTTTTTTAAAAAATAATAATAATCAGACATACTTACATATAAGCAAAACCACATTAGTAGATGTTGCCAAATTTTCAGAATATGCCAAATTACACCAAACATGCGCATAACAATTCTTCATGATATGTCACAATTTTTGTATGTAACTTTTTTGTTGCATTCGAAGTTCTAATGATTTTTATAAGTAAATTGTAATATTTTTAATTTTAATCTAATTTGACTAGTCACATGTAGAATCTACTTGTAATGGAAGAAACTACAGTAAAATTTCTACAGGAATACAGTATTTTGCAGCAAAATTGGTGAATTGAAAAACTGCTTTGAATCTGTTTCTAATGACTCCCACAAAACTTACAGCAGAGCAAAGGAAACAAAAATATACTTTTAAGTAAGTTTATTGATTGATTTCTCTGATAAATACCTAACTAAAACAGTATATATGTAATGTTGCACTATATGTAAGTACCAAATCATATATGTCATACTTTGAGTTACATTTCAAAAACAAAAATAGAAGCTAGATACATTAGGCTTTACATAATCAAATGAAATTTTTCCTAACTATTTTTAGTCTAAACTTTTATTTAATTTTGTTTATTAAATTTCATTTAGAAGCATAATACAGTTTTTTAAACTTTTTAAAAATTTTCTTGTGAAGAAATATGGAAATATACTAATAATTACTAATTGTTAATAACTTTAGTATATTATGTGGATGTTATAACCATATACTAATATATAACTAAAAGATTTATTAACTGACTCTCAAATGAAGATAAGTTTACTATCAGATGTATACAGTGTTAAGATTTATAATAATGTAGGTTGCTTTTCTATATTTTTGACTTTAGCATAGTATTATATCCTCACAAACAGAATACTAAGAACTGAATAAGCATTACTTTAAACTTCTCTTCAAATTAATTCTCTTACGATCAACACTGATTTTTTAGTTTAAAAAACGTGAATTCTGCCTTAGCAGTAGGATACGTTATTTAAATTAACATATACGTTTTTAAAATAAATAAATTCAATCACAGAACATTTAAAATGAAAACTAAAGCAATAACGATACCAAAAGTAGAAATAGGAAAAAATGGAAGAAAGTGGATAAGTTTTTATATTTCACAAATTCAATAAATGATCTGAATAAAGTTATAATTTTAATAAATACAAAATATCAGTATACATCAAGAAATATGTTCAGCAATCCAGATCCAGCTGATACATTAAACCAAAAACATTGATATAAATTTTAGATTAAGATTAGCAGCAAAAAAAAAAAAAAAAAAAATTTTTTTTTTTTTTTTCAGTTTTATACGTGATAAAAATTTCAAAATCTCTAAATGATTTAGATGAAATATATCTGACCAATCTTGTATTAAACTTGAGATTCAATAAACTATAAAAGCATGAAAAATACAAAAGAAAGAAAAAACATTATATGATAAACTATACAACATTTAAATAAAAATATTTGTAATTTTGTGCACAACAAGCAGTCCAGCTGCTAATATATACATTTACTTCTATTGCTAAATTCAAAAATTTTTTTAAAAATTGGGAAAAAAAACTGATACAACAAAAACTGACTAATCTACAGAAAATGTATCTCATTAAAATCATTGCCCATATGATGACAATGATAAAAATAATAATTTCTCATTTTTGTATTTATAATGCTGCATGAAACATCATAGCAATTTCATACTGCTATCATTCTTTTTTGCAGGAACAATTACAAATAATTATTTGAGCATTACACATGAATATTCCTAATTTTTATTCCTGTATTTACAATTTAGTTTTCACTGTTTTATGTGTCACTGTTGAACTTAAACTTATTCCTGGAAAAATATTTGAATGCATCAATAAAACTATTTGCTAACGTCTTTGGAACAAAGAGAAAAAGGAAAGTTTTTTTAAATGGAACAACTAATCATTTTTAAGCAAGTGTATTTTAGGAACACCCGATGAAACTGAGAGAACAGAAATAAATATTTAATTAAAATTATTCATAATTAATCAGAAGAAATAATTAAAACAGTTTAAACTCATAATGTTCAGATACAAAAATATTTACTTTTAGAAATTTTTATGATTTTCAAAAGAAAAACACAATATATCAAGTTTACCCTCATCAGATGTAGAACTACAAATACTGTGAATAATTTTTAATTCCTCATTAATTAAACAAGTAAAGCAAATATTACAAAACGCATTTAAAATCATTAATCCATTTAAATTCAATGTAAAAATATATAAAAACTAAAGTTGGTTAATTATTGGCAACTTTCTTTTAAATATATAATATATATATAAATAAAGAAGTTTTTGGATTATTTCCTATGAAAAGAAATGGAAGAAAATTAATAAAAATAGTGATATTATTAAATAGTTATGTAAAATTAATAAATGCCCATTTATTTAACTACCTTATAATTATTCACTATTTTTATTAATTTTCATAATTTTTTTCAATAAGAGATATTCCTAAAACTACTTGATAAATACATTCATATTTGCTAACTTAGCAGCTTTAGCATAAGTCTTAGGCATTTTAAGTCCAAAATTACCAAGTTTCATTATATATGTTTTTATTAACAGCATTTCTTACATAATATCTAAATATATAAAGTTTTAAAAGTATGCATTGATAGTTCATAAAAATCACACACATGAGAAAAAAAATTATTTGTTGAAATACTTCATTCAATTTTCAGATTTCTATCTTTAAAATGGAAGGAAGAAAGACTCAAAAACTAGACTACAGTAAAAGTAAACCCTACATAAAATTAAAGTAGAAAAAGCAATGGTACTTCCTTATTATTACAGCTTCCCCATTATTTAATTTCTTTACTCCCAGCATAAGAAGAACAAATGTGGCCCTTGACCTAGCAACACTGAATGTCACTGTGTGTGAATTGTTCTCTTAATTGAAAATGCACTTAGCCATTTTCAATTAAGAGAACAATTCATACAAATTCTGTTTTTTTTTTTTTTTTTTTGAAGAAATATCTAGATTCCTGTATATATACTTAATTTTTTTTATATAATATAAATAAAAAATCCTAACATTTAAAATAAAAAATAAATTAAAGTTCATTTACACATTTAAATTATTCCATATGGTAATGAAGTCAGAAATTTAATTTAAATATCACTATATATTCTATTGCCACAACCCAGATTTAGGCTAGTTTCACTGTGTAAAGCAATTCGATACCTTAAACATGTGTTTATATTATGCAGATTTTAATTTTGTAGAATGAAATAGTAAATAATACTTATAACAACAAATTCAATGCTCTGACTAACATAATTAAATTGCATGGCATTCTGACATCTTTTATGCATTTCAAAATTTCAGATACAATGTTTCATTTCAGCTTATATCAAACATGATACATTGGACCATTTACTCTTGTATTGCATTACGAAATGTTTGTTCTAACCATAGATATTTTAAGTCTGCCCACCATGAGGACAGCTTCTATTAGCGTTGTTGCTTTGGTGAAATCCATTAACAAGTGGAATAGTAGGTTTAATATTATCCCACTTATTATTTCTCGAAAACTGCAAAAAGTAATAATCAATTAGAATTTCCACCATGCAACCTCCAAGCTTCAAACCTATTATTCCTTTTGTTAATGGATACCTCCAAAATGAAAACCTTACTTGAAAGCTTTTTCCATGACATGCGGATTCTTAAGTGACTGTAGTTAGGACTACTGGACATTTGGTAATAATTTATAAGAAATATTTGCCAGAACTTCCTCAATTTGGCAATGGTTTATGACAAATGTTTGCTTCATTTAAGTAATGGAGACTGTAATAAGAATGAAGCACCAAAGGTTATGGATTTAGAATTCGGATTTTGAATCTTATTTCAAGTTTAATTTTACGTAAATGGAATAAATAACTGTTGGTAAAAAATCAGAATGCCTAAAAATTTTGTAAAAGATAATTTTTTACTTTACCTTAAAGATTTTAACATTTTGTTTCACTTGATATCATTAAATTTTTTTAATGATTAATTTTATAACATACAGCCTGAAAGCATTACAGTAGTAATATTAATAGTAGTGCTTCCTTTTAGCAATTATCGAAAATCCCAAAATGTATTCAACATTTATATTTCTCAAAAAATGTTTTTTAAGATAATCTGAACACATCTGAGATATGTGATCAACATACTGGAAACATGATATCCACAATGACTGAAAGTGTACATAACCATAAAATATATAAAGTTTATTCTCACATTTTATGAATACTTTCAGTTATAAATAAAACAGGCAAATAAAGAGGAAACCTCTCTTTATTTGCCTGTGGATATTCAAATTTATTCTAAAAATGTTTTCATAGATGTTTAACGTTAACAAAACATTGAGTTTTCAAAGTATATTTTAGCAGTTAAAAAAGTGATTTCCATGTTAATTTTCTTATTTTTACCAACAATCAGTTTTTTTTTTTATATCTTTCCTTAAAGACATAATACTAGGTTTATTATATGGCTATACTAATAAAGATGATTTGTATTTAAAATCTCTATCTTAAGCAAATGCCACTTAACATGATCGTGTTTAATTTTATTGAAATGCCAAAGTCCTGCCCCATTTGCATATGAAAACATAGAAAATACATTGCTTACCATGATCAATAATTTGGTTGATATGATCAAAATATTACAGAATAATTTTTTTTTTAATTGAAGCAAAATTACCAAATAAGGTCAAAACATATTTTTAAAATTGCCAAATGGCACAGATATATCACCAAGTAAGTGGTTAAATTGGCAATTTTTAGAATTTGATTTTATTACGTGATTTAAAATTGGGCAAAAAAGCAACCTTAATTTAGGATAGATTTTGAATAATTCTATTAATTTGGAAGGTGATCAGACACAGTTTACTCTTCTGCCAAGTTAAGCTACTTCAGAAGCAAAACAATTCAGAAATGTTCTTTTTTTTTTGCTTTAATCTCGAAAAATATTTATGTTAAACTGCAGTTACCTTTTTCTGAATAAATTTAAATTGGCATATTCTTTTCCAATTTGATTAGCGTAACCATGTTTAATAGAACCTATTTTCAAGATCTACTGAACTAAACAATTTAATAAAACTGGAATTTTAGATACTCTTGCTTTCATGAACTGAAATTTTCTTCTCTCTCTCCTTTTCCCCCGTTTTTCTTCCTCCCTTTTTTGAGCATTTTGTTGAATGTCCTAATTCAAGGAAGTGCTCATTTTTTGTTCTATTTAGTTATTTTTAATTATTTTTATTATATGTAGGCATTTTTAGGTTTTTATGATCATTTTAAAATTACAGACCAAGTAAAAAAGCATAATCTAGCGGATACAGTTGATTTAGTAAACTACTAGGACCTGCTCCTAAAAGTCAGTCAACAGAATGCTGTCATTAAGTTAAATGTTTCTTAACCCCTCTTAAAATTTTCAAGAATCCTTAGTATAATGTTTGCAAAATTAAACTGAAATGAAAACATGAAAAAGATATGCAGCAGAAAAAGTCACAATGAGAAAGGTCAGATTTAGAAAAATTTGTGAAAAAGATGTGACAATCAGTTGTCTATTGATTTGGCAGAAAGTTGAAGAATTAACCATAATAATGGAGAAAGATGATTTAATAGCAATATATGTCTCTTTTAGCGAATGAAAAAATACAATTTGCAAATGTTTTACCAGTGAAGAAAAAGGTATTGATTTACCAGCTACAGGAACACTGCTGTCAAAAGAATATCTTAAATTATATGACCTGAAAACATTTTTAATGTATACAGAACAGTGTTTTGATGTGCAGGTGTATAGTCACATGCATCGCCTAAAAACACATATTCATTTAAAACTGAGAATTCAAAAGGTTCTGGCTAACCAGCAGCCAGGTGGTAAAGTCGCTGAACACTGGTAGTTCAATTTCAGGTAAATGGCTGGCTGCTTGGGTGTTTTCATGGCTTTCCCATATATAATGCAAATACCAGCCAGTTTCCCTTAGAAAGTTCTTCACAAAGGCATTCCTCCCTTAGGCAGATAAGCCTAGAGTGCTATGCCATAATCCAATAAACCAATCAAAAGGTTGTAAAATATTGAACGAGCATGTGAACATTTCATGTTACGTCAGCATGTGTGGTAAAAAATACAGTCACTAGTAATCAGATAAAGGAAAAAAAAATCCTAATGCTTTCAAGAAGTAAAGAGTTAACCAATGATATAATTCAAGGCATGAATGATGTCAATAATTTTAGTGAACAGCTTTTGAAATGGGATAACAAACAATTGCATGGTGCATAACGCTAATGTTTGTCTTAAGCATATTGAAATTATATATATATACCAGAAAATACCACAGCCCTAATTCAATGGATGATATGGATATAAATGCAAATAAACCAGCCCCCTCCCACTGAAGCACTACATTTACTAAACAGTCTTAGAACCATGTCTCAAAAAAGACAACAAAAAACTTCTTTAAATATGCAGATCTTTTAATAAATGATGAAATAGAGAACATTGAAGAAGGGAAAGCAGTGTCTCCAGCTAACATGAATTATGATTAATTTTATGCATGGGTGGATAATGATGAAAACATCCAAACTTCAACAATGATGGCAGAAGGAAAAAAAAAAATCTATCACTTGCTTTGTGAAATAAATCCAAGAGCATCATGTAGTAAACTTCCTGAAGATTATCATAATGAAACTAATGAATTCCCTATTACTGTTGAGATGAGAGATGCCCTCTAGGATAAGGAATACAGTATCAGTAAAATAATTTTCAGAAACATTATGAATTCCTTATAAATGAGCTTTTGCATAACTCTAGTAGACATTCCAATAGAAATACGATTTCTTAATTCAAATGCTGCTAAAGTGCACATTTATATGTCTCTACATATATTTGTATCAAATTAGTTAAATCCAATAACTGTTTTGAAGGATAAACTTTTTCATCATTTAATATTACGATTCAGTTTACGTTATCAAAAATGGCCATGAACAAACATGATCACATTAAGTGGTATCTACTACATTTCCTTTCACATTTATTGCCTCAATTTAATTGCAGAAAATTTTAAAAATCCACTCAGTGAATTATTAACTATTATTTATGCTTGGCAGCCTTAATTTTTTTTTTTTTTTTTTTTAAGAAAATGCATTGAAAAGAAACAAGAGAGAGAAATTTCAGCTAAAGAAGTTACTTTGGAGAAACAAAGAATATAAAAATAAAATTTTGAGGTGATAAAAAATTCCTTCTTTATAAAGTAAAACCATTTTTAAAAAAAAGTATGAATCATATAACGAAAATGAATTGTAATTTAGTCGGTGACCAACACTTTTTTTTAAAACAATTTTGTCATATGTTTTTTAAGAAATAGTTAACTTAATAATATTTATTATTCCACTTCCAGATTATATTCATCTCAGCTGTTAAAATAAATTACAGATAGCTCTATTCAGATTATTAGCTTTGATGTAAAAAAATGTTGCAAGTTCTGCTGCTATAAAATGATGAACTTTACAGAATGCAGGGCAGATATTAATTGGATGGTACACTTTACCTAGCAGATTTATTACCTTCTGAAGCATAGTTTAAAAACTATTTCCCTGATGAAATATTATGAAGAAGGTAATAAACAACTTTTGTATTAGCTAGTGAATATTTAAGATTCATGACATCCAAAAATAGTTCACGAAATGTGTTGGAACATTTAGCCTATTTTTTAAAAATTATTGCATAACAGTATTTTATCACATTACATCTTTACCACCAAAAAGAAATGCATCCTGGCAAGAGTTTGCATATAACTAATATGTATTATGACAAATTGTTATATTTGGATTATTCACTAGTAATGGCAAGTAACAGAATAAAAAGTACAAGGTATCTTTGCAATACTCATTTGATGCTTGCATATACATAGTACTATTTCCTTTTTTACAGCAATATTAATAACTAACTAGTTTTGGCTACTCTGTTAAAATCTGCAATATTAGCATCGCCTGATGTAGCATGAAGTAATCCTTTTAATGCAGGTATCATAGTCTGATGTGAGGTAGAGAAATACAAGTGACGATAAAGAGGTCCCAGAAAGGATTGTGCACCATTTACAGCAGTTAAAGCAGGGGTACTACATTCCAAAGGATCTCCCAATTCCCTATCATCACAAGGCAAATGACAAGCTTCTCTTTTGACTGGAAGTATTGCAAGAGGAACTGTCTGATTGGGAACTTCAATATTTGTCTGGACAGTCACCGGTGTCGAGCACACTGCATCTTGTGGGGAAGCTGGAGGTGTAGCATTATTTATTACAGTATTTGTTGAAACTGGTGTACGAGAATTTTCCAAAGGCGATGTAGATGTTTCATCCTTCATACAATCATGGAAAAAGTGATCTGACTTAGCTAGAAAAGAGCGCCCACATTTAGTGCAGGTAAAGTTGGCACGAGCTTGTTCATGCCGTCTTAGATGCAGATTCAAATTCCTACGATTTCCAAAGGATTTGGAGCACATTGGGCAGGCAAAACTTTTATCCACTCTATGTGTAGTTAAATGCTGCCGTAAATTGCTCTTTAATGTAAATGTTTTATTACAGTGTTCGCATTCATATGGTTTAACACCATTGTGACTGTTCAAGTGTCTTGTTAAATCACCTTTGAGGCAGAATTCTTTCTGACAAATATTGCACAGGTACCGGTTTGAAGCCAGTCTAGTTGACTGTTCATGTATGAGCTGTACATGCTCATGAAGACTTTCTGGAGATGGAAATGTTTTAGAACATTCAGAACAAAATGATAAGCCTGCAGAAGGAGACTGGTGATTATTATCAGTAGGAGATGAGGTTTGTACATATGGATGAGCATTGGCTAGGTTTGTATCCTGGCCAGAAGTTATTACATGAGGTAATTTTAAAGAGGCACTATTTGGCACAGATGCATAAGTTTTTTGGACATGTGAGTAACTCAAATCGCATATAAGCTGAGGTTCAGCTTGACTTTTCATGAATGAGTTCCCCGATCCTTCAGCTCCTTTAGCTTGAGTGCGAACATGAGTTCGAACATGCTGAGTAAGATTACCTTTAAGAGCAAACTGCCTGCCACAAAATTTGCAAGAATGTGGCTTGACTCCTGAATGAATAAGTATGTGGCGGCTTAAGTCACCCTTTAAGGTAAATCTTTTACCACAAGTAGTGCACTCAAAAGGCTTCTCACCAAAGTGAGCTCGAATATGCCTATGTAAACTGTCCTTCTGGGCATAATTCTTTTCACAGATAGTGCAAGCATACTGTTTTTCTGGAGTGTGCGTTCGAAAGTGTTGCATCAAATTACCTTTCAATGTAAAGCGTCGTCCACAGACATCACAAGCATATGGCCTCTCACCACTATGAATTCTTATATGCCTTGTAAGATCTCCATTAAGCATAAAGGCCTTCCCACAAACTGGACAACGATATGGCCTTAAACCTATATGTATTAACATGTGTCTTTGCAAACTTCGACTGTCCCCAAAAATTTTGCCACAATGATTACATGGATAAGTACTTGAAGTTTTTGTGCTAACTTGTGCTTTAGTACCAGCCTGAACCACTAAATGCCGCTCTTGTGTATATAATTCAGGCCTTATCCCATTGTGTACAACTACCTGAGGAGAACTGGTTGGTGCTTCAGTGACAATTGTTAAATTAAGCATACTCTGAGGGACATCATCAAGTGCTGATGTCACTACAATATGCTTATTATGAGAATCAGAACATTTAATTTTCAGAGTTTCTTGTGTATTATGGGGATCTTCATCTGAGGAAGGATGGCTAGGAATGTCATCAACCTGGCATGAAACATCTCTTCTATCAGGAATAAGTGAGGTCAGTTTTGTACATTCTCCTGATAAATCAATTGGGGGCACATTACCAACATCTTGGTGTGATGACTGGTCAGTTAGCACATGATTCCACTGCTTGTGCCCATTAATGACTTGACTTGATTCTCCATGAGCATGAATCATTTGAGCAGTGTGTGGCAATTCTCTAGCATTCGGCATTTCATCCAGTACATGATTCCAAGATCCATGATCACTAGTACTTAATATCTGAGGTTGTTCTTTGTTCCCACAATGAATATGTTGTTTTTCATTATCAGAAGCCTGTTTTATAACATGATTCCAGGCCTCCTGATTGTTAATCACAGTTATTTGAGAGGGTTTGCTTGAATGCAACATTTCATTCTCAGAAGTTACTTCTTCATTTAGATTCTGTGATTCATCAATTACACTTTCCCAAGATCTCCTTTCCTCAGATGAGTGATCTTTTATTGGATGAAGAAGCTGATTTCTTTCACTAATATTTTCGGAGTGAGAACTCTGCTCCCTTAGCACATGACGCCATGCCCCCTGTTCATTTTCAGATGCATTTTGCTGTTCCTCTTTAGGTGAATGCAGCATTTGAGAAGAATGAGAATACTGTAAAGACACAGTATCTATATCTCCTGTAGGTCGCAATATGGCTTGGTGAATTTCTGCACTTGGATTTGTCAGCTCAAAAACTTCTTTTAAATC